AATCATCTGGCCACGAACACTGTGTACATATAGCAACACTACCTTTATCATCGACAGACGAACATGAATTCATAAATTCTTCATGCACTTCTAGTCCTCATCTTTATCAACAATTATTACCGAATAGTCGAATAGGTCACAAAAATGTACAAGACTTCGATAGCGAAAATTTTTGTGTAGAAAGTGGCAAAATTTTTCAAGAAATTGACGTTTCATCACACTGTATGAAGTGTCAAAAAGTACGATCCAAGGAAGACAAAACTTCAAAGGGTTTTTGTGACAATAGTGATAGTTATAGTGTCCGTAGTGAGAGTATAACAAGTTCACAAATTGATCTCTGTGACTTTACATAACAACAACATAAAAAAACGTACAAATTTCCTGAGAAACGGTACATATAATGCACGTAATTATATACGAATGCAATGTTTCTATAAGGGAAAAAATAATGTTTGCAAACGGTAGATCTATTGGTAAATCTTAACTTGATTTAAAATTCATTAAATAGTTGTTTTTGTTAATTGTCTTTTTTTTTAAGAGTTTGATAGTACATCAGTATTGCATAAGTTTACAAACTGATAATCATTAGAAAAGATTTCATATTTTGGGAACAATATAGATTTATTTTCAATGATAATTGCTAAAAAAAAAAAAAACAAGAGGTCCATGGGCCTTAGAGGTCAGCTGAGCATTATGCAACAACTTTCAAGTGATTGAATTTGATTTATATTTTAAGCCAGATGCTATGGCATTCACAATTTTGAAAGAGGCACCTTTGATCATCATAACTATATACTTACCAGTTGATTAGTTTGGTTTCTTAATACCCATAGGCAGGGTAGGGAAACAAAAACTGCATTTTAACTAATCAGTAATAATATTCGGCAATAATCAGTAGCGCCACTACCACACAATTGAACCCCTGACCCTTAGACCTATACCCACACATTGCACAATTTTTGAAAAGGCATCCTTGCTTTTCAAAAATATTTGATTAATGCCAAGGAGCAGATTTCAAACAATTCATTCATTTTCAGTATATAAGTATGTACAAGTAAGTATAAGATTAGGGCCCTTGCTCATCATAACTATATAGGTAGTTCATCTGCTTAATCATTGTTAATACCCAGGAGCTGAGAAGAAATTTTTCAAAGATTTAATGTAGTTTAACACCAGAACCCCTGACCCTGGGGCTATAAAATTCACAATTTTGAAAGAGGCATTCTTGCTCATCATAACTAAGTACTTAGTTAGTTTATTTCATACCTAGGAGCAGAGAAAAAAATTTTCAAAGAATTCATGTATTTTCACCATAACATCAGTAGAGCCCCATCCTAACACCAGAACCCCTGACCCTGGGACCATAAAATTCACAATTTTGGTAGAGGCACTCTTGCTCATCATAACTATGCACTTAGTTAGTTTATTTCATACCAAGGAGCAGAGAAGAAGATTTTCAAAGAATTCGTGTATTTTCACCATATAATCAGTAGATCCCCATCCTAACACCAGAACCCCTGACCCTGGGACCATAAAATTCACAATATTTTGGTAGAGGCACTCTTGCTCATCATAACTATGTACTTAGTTAGTTTATTTAATACGTACCCAGGAGCAGAGTAGAAGATTCTCAAAGAAATAATGCATTTTCACTATATACTTATTTAGCCCCGCCCTAGCACTAGAACCGCTGACCCCAGGGCCATGAATTCCATAATTTTGGTAGAGGACTCAATGCTGATTACAATCATGCAATCAGTTTGACTGCTTGATGTCCAGGAGTAAAGAAGATTTTTAAAGATAGCATTAATTTTAGTGGTTTTGGCCCCATCCCTCAGGCCCTCGACGACGGATGAAAACGGATGGCAATAACTCATTTACTCAGGTGACCTAAAAGCCACACAGCTGCATGTCTGAGCATATTTTTCAATAGATGAGGATAGAGGATAAGCTATTCCATATATTATGACTTTAAATTTTTCGATCGTCAACTGTCCATTCTGTGAGAGAAAGAAATGTTCGAGGCCCGAAGGGTCGAGAATAGTCTTTTCTCTCACAGAATAAACAGTTTGAGGACTTTATCCTACTTAAAACATTTTCTCTATTGTTAACTTAATAAACTGTCCCAGGTGATGGTTATATATTTCCTATGATTACGTAACACACTTGATTATCCAGAGAGTGGGGGTGATAACAATAGCTGTATTGTTTAACTCAATGGACAGTGCCAGGTAAATTTACATTTTTAAATGATAGCTCACTTGATTTCTGACCACTTCCCATGTAAAGCTTCATGAGTGACGATGTCCTCATCGGATGGAGAAAGTAATACACATTTCTCCAAAATACGGGCCAAAGGGTGATAAATATTCTACAGTATGTAGACACAAGCAGAAGCTTGTAGGTTTTCAGATTCTGAAGTTGGTGTTCAAGTTTTGACAAAAGCTATTGCAAATCTTTTTTAACAATCAGGATTTAATGGACACTGTGATCCGAAACATTCTCGGAGAAAACAACGGCGACCCCCTTGTATGAAGTTTGAGGAAGCAGTTTATAACAGAAAAAACGGGCCACAAATCTATTACAGTTTGATCCTACAATTGAACCAACAATAAATAGCAGAAGAGAGTATAAAATGGAATAATTCATGGAAATATGAGGGATTCAGATGATGGCAAGTGTATGAAAAGATAAAATTTGTGATCTCTGTCCCAAAAATGATTCCACCTGCAGTGCATCTAGTGAGATTATCATTTAAAATTTAAATTGCTGTTGGATATATTTTAAACATTCATGGAATGGATCTACCACATCCAGCAATCATTTATAAATTTTGTGAAGAGGATGAGACGTTTGTAGTTTAATAAAGAAACTTCTGGATGTGGATGTTCTAGAGTTATTAAGCATCAGGATTTACACATGTGTCTTTTTTGCATTGGATTTTGTCATTTCCAAAGACGATATACTGTTGAACATTTCATATACAATTGTTTGATATTTATGCATGATTGTGCGTTAAATTGAAAATTTAATTACCCATTTTAATTATGTATTGTTTTCAACATTTAAAACCTGTACATTAAGTTACCTTTAATTGTACATTAAGTTGACAAAACGCTGTCGATTAAGTTAAGAATTGAGAGTTTTGTCAACTTAAAGTACAGTTACAGGTGACTTAATGTTCAGTTTTAAATATCCAAATCTATTATGCCATATAATGTACTAAAAACACAAAGGATTACATAACAAAAATATTTTAACACTAAGTCAAATGCTTACTGACTTTTTCATACTAATTGTTAGGCCATTATACATGTATACACAATAAATTGTCGATCGATTTTTCTGTTATATTTCCCGATCATGAAAAAAAGCATGCGGCGAATGTGATCGTTCGGCAGGGGATGTTCTATCCTCGGTGGCACCTGATCCCACATCTGATGTTTCGTAGGTCTTTGTTTGCTTTGCTTTAATTCTGTGATGTTTAATGGACTTTTGAGCTTGATATTGTTTGTTATCTCCATACATTTCATTTAACCTGTCATACACAGATTTTTAGCTTCCGAGCTGAAAAGCTTTTCTGATCACATTTTCTAAGCAGTCCATCTGTAAACTTTTTAACAATTTCGACTTCCTCTCAAAAACCACAAGGTTTTCTATCCCAAACAAACATGCTACACAGCATCCTTGGTTGAAGGAGATTCCACTTTATTTTATAATGAAGTTTTAATGGGGGATATATAATAAACTGATCAAATTGTGCTGGCATTAATATCATTATAAATCCAATTCCCCATAAACCACTTGGCTTAGAATCTTGTAACATAACGTGACAACTTAATAATATAGTGCAATTTGAAGTTTGATCAAATCATGACCTAGCTATGGGGTTGGGCTCTTCCATGATGGTGGATCAAACTTTGATGTAGGAATATATGGACAAAATCTTTTAAAAACCTTCTATAGAACAAAGTACATCAGAGATCACGATTCATGAACTGAATCTACACTATGTAATGAAACTTTTCCACGAGTTTCATACTTGTCTGGTCCTTTATTACTTCAGATGATTTATTTTTGAAAGACAGAGCAGTACTTAAGAAAAAAATGTTTACAAAGGGATAGAAGCTAACTCTCCATATCAGCCAAAATGATTAAAACAGACAGTTCAATGCTCTGGTTATCGTCTTATTTTTATTGTCTTTTTTATTTTTGTTCAAAACTGACCTTTTAGGGGTCAAAAAGACCAGGTTTCTTGATTTTAAATCAACGGTTGTAAAAGGTTACATGTAACATTGTAGTGCTAACTGATATCACTTCAGGAAACCACAGCCCTTTTGAATAATCATAAACTAGTGATTCTTTTTTCAAGAATTTTATTCTTTGATTCAAAATAAAAATATTCATTTTAACAAAAAGATAATTTGAAATTCTTACTATTAAATATAATAATTGAACACTTCCAATTTGTTCCAAAAGTCATGCTTAGTTCAATCGTCTTTACAACAGTGACTGTTACCTAGTGTTATATATGCCAGTTCAGAAGTTTTTAGAATCAATTCAAAATAGTATCAAACACTGTTTTTCTTCAATTATCTGTACCACTGACGTAATACGGTGTATCTATAATTATCTGTACCATTGATGCAATATATCTTCAACTTTATCTTGATGTGCCCATTCTTGTTGTATCTGAAATGTAAGGGTCCAATTTGTTTAATTATTGTTGGAAGACAAATAAGAATGCAAAATCATATTACTTTGATATTTTGTATTTAAAGTACACAAAAACTCAATTCTTGGTGGTTTAAAAATAATATTTTTAATTCAAAGTGAAACAATGGGGACACTGGCATTGATAATCACTGAACTACCATGCTTTCTTTGTCATAACCAACTCAGTTTCACTTTAAATTGTAACTCTAATGAATTCTTTGATTGACTGAGAATTTCACATATGCTTTATATATTATTTTTATTATTACATTGTACCATAAGGCCACAATTAAAATATTAAATTCGCCATTTCAATCAAATTAGCTTAGCCATGATCTGAATTTAACAATTTGTAAAAAAAAAAAAAAAAAAAAAAAAAAAAAAGCTTACAACTAATAAAGTTGTTCAGCCAAAACAGAGAAGTAAATAGGTTTGATGGTTTAAAAAATAAGAACACAAGACAACAGACTGATACCTACAACAGTACTATATATACCCCAATCACTCAGGTGAAATTAGGAATATACCTTTTTTTTTACAGATGGTCATTTCATCTCTTTCGAGTTCTTATCTAAAGCATGCTCAAAAAATTGAATTCTTTTATTGAGAACAAGATTCTGACCTTGTCCCAGATGTCAGGGGTTTTCTTTGTTCGAGATACAGGTGCTGAGCTGGGTCTGCTCTTCTTAGTTCCTGAAAAGCACACAAAAATTATACTGTAATTAAACCAACAATATACGAGGGCTGTCCCGTAAAATCGTGGACAAAACGTTTTTCTCGAAAAGTAATGGGCGCACTGAGCTGAAAATTTCAGTAAATGTTTATTTATCATATCTAAATGCATGATAATTTTTTTGATAAGATATAGGCAAAAATAAAGATCTTATTATGCTTGAATGTGCACGGGTATTGTCCTACGGCGCACGGACAAAAAACCAAGGTTTTATTAAAGAATACACAAGTTTGAATTCAAAATAAAAGTTTTAAATACAAAAGATTTGGATTAAAATTATCCTAATTCAATTTCACAATCAATTTTGTAGTCTTTGTAAAAAATTTAAGGCATTTGGTTAATTCTTGGCAGTTTCTCGAGCATTCGAAATGGGAAAGTGGTAAACACAACACACGAAAAATGGCGACGTTTTATGACGTTACGGCACACCAGAGAGCAGTTCCGTTTTAATTCGATGTTGTAATGACTCCTTTTGAGACTTGAAATGACCATAGAAGAAAAAAGATTATAAAAATATCACCATATCTTAAGTATACAATTGAAATGGAAGTTTCTTAGCGAAGTTTTTTTTTTATCGAGTCCCTGGGGAGTACAAAACATACGGACAAACTCCTAATGTAATAGCAAAAGACGCTGTCACAGTAGACCGCGGATATGAGATTTTCTATTAGTTGAATGATGGTGAGAATATTGTCCGTAACTTACTGATAACTCTTCAGAAGATCGCATGAGGGTGCCAATTGGTTCTTCGACTGTTTATGGAGACTAAAGAATGTGTATCAATGAAATTCCTAAATTTAAGTCGGAATCATCCAAATTCATTTTCAGCAAAGATAAAACGTGACGCTGTTTTAGACACTTTGACGTTATAATCCATGCGCCGTAAGGTGATACAGTACATGGCATAAAATCACATAATTTGTTTATAATGCATATATTTGAAATCTGAAATTTGCTGTGTATATTATATTACTAAAATATGTACTAAATAATAGTGAAAAGGAGATATTTCGATAAGGCTGTTTTTTGGCCCATGGTTTTTGCGAAAAATGAAATTAGGCTACACACAATTTTAAACTTACTTTCATTATTTTCAACATGTCTAATTTTGTGCCATGTATATTTTTGCGGGGGGAAAAATTAGGATAAAATTGGAATTATCGGCCAAAGTATGGTACCCTCAACTGCTTTAACATTGGGCATATGGGAGAATGTCGGAGGGTTATGGTGTTTAAACTTCTAGTTCACCACGTGTTGCATTCTGAACCAAAACCATACTTTGGTCAATGATTACATATATATATACAGAAATATTATACTGAAATATGGTAGTGGTTCGCAATGCAACACACACTTAAATAGTAATGACTTGACTAATTTTGCAATCTGTTGAGATGTGGTCAATTTTATTATAACATTTAAAGTGTTTGATATACATTCATAACATTGTTCAGTTAGTCAAACAGATTATTTAAACATTGTTCGGAGGGAGAGGGTGTATAGTTTTTTACTCTTTTGTATCTGCTTATCCGTCTAGCTGTCTGAGTGTCTGTCCGTAACACACATTTTTGTCGCAGTTTTTCAGCAACTATAAATAGTAGATTCTTGATGCTTTTAGCACACTTTTTGTTTAGGCATATCATATGGTGGGATTTATTTTTGTATGAATACAGTGTTAACTTCCTGTTTATCTGTGTGTCTGTATGTACCAAATTTCCATCACAATTATCTACATGAATAAGCATTGCAGATACTTGAAATTTTAGCGCACACTTTGTTTAGGCCACATTGTGAGATTGATTCATGAGAGTCTACCAAAGCGGGGGTTTTACTATTGAGTATTGGCTTCTTGTCCTCTTATACATGTATTACCGTACTATGCGTTAGGATGTAAAACAAAAAAAAAGTGAAACTAATCGAGTATATTTTAACGTGTCTGTATGTCTGTTTGAGAGGAAAACCCACAACTTTGACACCAGAGAGGGCAGTTGCAATATATAAATACCAAGCTTACACTTACTGTTTCATAGTAAAAAATATTGATTGTGTAATGTTAATCTAGGTCAAAGTTTCTTGATTTGGGTATGTTGGAGTATCACAGATTTAACGTGCGTCTTTTTTCTGTCCCCGAAGGATATGGAGAAAACGAACAGTATACAATATCAAAGTCCTATAAACACTATAAAATAGGAGCAGAGCAAACACGGACCTCCACATCATCAGAGGTGGGATCAGTTGCCATTGAGGACTGAGCATCACCTGCATACAGAGTTTATACATCTCAGCTGATTCGATTAGCCAGATCATGCTCTATACGTATGAACAATCTTTAAAACGAGATAAATTATTGACAAACAATTTGATGAAACAAGAATATTAGCAGTTTCGTTTATAGTCATCAATCCATAAGTTCTATGTTCGATACAATGATCTTGTCAGCAAATACAATTTATCATTGACTCAAATGCTCACTCACGTTTTGTATACTAATTGTTAGTCCATTATTTATACACTGAATTCACGAAATTTTCTGTTATTTCCCGATCATGACAAGGAGCACACAGTTGGTATGACCAGTCCGAAGGGGATGTTTACTCCTCCATGGCATCTGATCCCAACTTTGATTATATGTAGGTTCGTGTTTGCTCTTTTCCTATTTTGTATTGATTTATGGACTTTAGATTTTGTATACAGTTCCTTATCTCCATATGATTCATCATAAGAACTTAAAAAATGTATATAAAAATGACTTTTAATAATAGACAAATCTTGCATCCAATATCTATAAATAGAATAAAATAAGTACATGTAAATAAAATGTTATGCATGTTTAATATAGTACATTTACGGTATAATTTTTTTCCCCAAAAAAAATCCTGTAATCAGTTTAAGAGATTTTTTTTACACTTTCTATGTGTCTATCGAAACGAAATACTATGAAATTGATGTGCTTAATTATAATGCATAGAGGTCTTTTTTCTACTTGATACTTGTAAGCGCAAAGTGACTGTTTTTATACCCTCGCTTGAAAAGTGGGAGGGTATATAGTAATCGGTATGTCTGTCCGTCCGTCTGTTATGCTTTGGGGGTACCCATCTCTTATCCGCATCTCCACTCATACCACAGAACGAAATTTAATGAAACTTTCAAAGAATCTTTAATACATATTATCATTTTGCACCTCTTATTTTACTTTTTGATCTGATGTACATTTTGGATTTTCCAGAGCAAAACACGGACACTGCCATTATATTCATATGGGAGGCGGGGGTGTCATTTAGTGAGCTCATTGCTCAAAGTACATCTAGTTAATAATGTCTCAGTATATGATATGTCGATATATTGAAAGGTTGTTTTTTTATAACTTATTGTTTATCTTGTCTTATTATATCATGTTTATAAATGGCAAAGATGTTTAATAAGAAAGCGCACACAATTTCAATTGAATTTTTATGGCTACAATTACAAAAATTCTCTTTTCCAATTTTTTTTAATAAGTTAGTTTTTTTGTGTTACTTCAGATCTGTTCTATGTTCCCTGATGAAATATTGTTAATCTGTCTTTGATTTTTCAAAATGAATAGTCCTCTACAAGAAATAAATCTTGATAACCCTCTTAGATGCTTTAAGAGGGACCCTTTAGATAGCCCTTGGTCACGTGACTAATATAGGTTGGTTTTGCAAATAAATTATAAAATATGAGGGGGGAAACATTACTAGACAAAACTAAATGAAAATATTTGAAATTCATCATGGGCTGAAAATCAGCCTTATCGAAACCCTACCTTTCAGGACGCAGTGATGTTTATTTTTTACACTAGACAACTTGTCCACGATTTTACAGGACAACCCTCGTACATGTATTGTAATTTTGTAGTTCGAAATTAATCTACCAAGATTAATTTTCACAACTACAAAATTTATATCAATAAACTCAAAGCAAAAATATTTATATATTTTTTAAATCTCATAAAATGTAAAATTTGGAGTAAATTATATAAGAATTAATATAGCATTGTAAAACATGGAAGAGACACATACCATGTGTTACTGTCTTAAGTGTGCTGACCACTTGCTTTTTGAGGTCACCAGTGGTGAATTTGACCATAGCCATCAGAAACCTGGTACCGCCATGATGGTTAAACACCTGTTCTATTCTTTTATCACTCTTCACCAACATTTGGACAATGATCAAACCTGTAAGAGAACCAGTTAATTATGATCCAACATGAATGAGAACCAGTTACTAGAACCTATCAAAAATCACATTCATTAAAGATCCAGCCAAATATTTTTGACAAACATATTAAATTTAGTCAAAGTCGTTAATGCCTCCAGGTTTTCTCACCAATTATTTCCAGTAATTCATTGCTTGTATTGGTTCTGAGGAAGTCCAGTAACTTCTGCATGTATCCCAGTTGGGTCAAGGTCATGTGAACTTCAACCTAAATATACAAAAATATTCACATCTGTAAATAAAGTTCACACAAGAAGGACAAACAGTTTAAAAAACAACAAAAAAACTAAAAAAATGACAGATGATAATCTTTATTGTGACTGTTTTCAAAAATTGTCCATATAAATTGGGTTTTTTTTAATGCAGTATTTCAGAATGAAATACACTAATATCTTTTAATTGCAAAGAGTGCGCGCATGAATGGCCAACACATTGTATCCCCAAAATCCTTTCTGCGAAAAATCAAATTATCAAAATAAAACCAAAAGATTTACATTAATTCACGTAAAAAACTTTCCAAACTCACATTTCCGAAATGCACTAGATCACCAAGTAGAAGTGCACAGAGTTTTTTAACCTCTAAAGAAGGGGAAAACATGGGTGTTAAAATCCTTGATCCTCCCTCTTGTAGCAGTTGATCTCTGCACTGAACAGCTACAGGTTTAACTGGGTCAAGGACAGGCTTAGGGACTTCTGGAATTGGGTCAACTTGTCTAGAACTAGGTCTGTTTTCAATCACATCTGCAATAACACAAAATGTATCATAAAGGAAAATAATTAAACTTAAATATCAACTGAATTTAAGGACTTTTGGTTAATAATTTGTTTACAATTAGATTACCAGAAATGTTTTCATTTTTATTTTGCACTATGAACCAACATCTTCATTTCAAAATGTTGGGTCATCTTCAGCACCAATTTTGATTGGCTGGTACATTTATGCTTAAACACTGCTACATGTATGTTAATGCTTTAAGATAAAGATTATACATACATTGACTGAGTCTGGTTATAGCCTCAGTATCTGGGTCTTCCTCTGCCCGGGGGATGATATGGGGGGTGGAGGAGGTGGAGGGGACCAGTCTCGTCCCCAGGGCGTCCTTGATGATGTGAGCCACGTGAGGTGACATGGTGTGGAGGGCCTGCTGTACACGGAGGTCTCTGGTGAGGGCGGCTGCTGCTGACTGGGGGCTAGATATAGGTAAAATGAAAGTGAAAGAATAACTGGAGGTCAAACCAGTGTGTAAAGGGAGATGATTTCATACCTTAAAATCACTCTGATGAGGATATTATTTTTTTTTCTAATTCCTATAAAAATTAAAGATTTAAAATCATTATTTTCAAAATCATAGATTAATTCCTTTATATCATTGTAATAAGAGATTACTTTTGCTTTTAAGAACTTGAAACTATATTATATGCTTTTTTTAAAACAAAAATATTATATTTAAACAAGCTATCACAACAGTCTGAAAAATACTGTGCCTTTTGTAAATACACATATAATGGCATGGTAATTTTGGGTATCAAATATGATTTAGGTAGCAATATTTACCGTAGTCTGGCATTAGCACTAGCATTGACTGGACCGTACATGCTATTCAGAGTTATCTCCCTCTCTTCTATAGACTGAATATTAGCTCTTAGGATTTCACAAGAGAAAATCTGTAAAATTACTTATAATAATCAATAAAAATAATTAATAATTTACTTGTATTATGGATACATATTCAATGAAAAAAATTGTTTGCTTATTTTAATTTTACAAAAAGTCTTAAAAAGTCAAATGCAATAATTACCTTCAATGACATTTTATTTGAATCTATAAATCAATATTAATAATTAGTACTAAACCAGAGAAGAAACCTGATGATCTGATTTAATACATACCTGACATTGAAGATGTGAACATTGAATGAAAGGCACTATAACTCGGAATACACCTTGTTCAAACAAGCACTTCCTTAGCAACCGTCGCTCGGCACTTATCTCTTTGTCCTTGAGTCCTTGACGACGCTCTTCTTCTGACAAGGAGGACAAACCTATTGCACTGGTAGGTCTGCTCTTAACAGGGGAAGCTGGTCGACCATATCCACCGTGTGTGGAAGTGTCTGACTTAGAGCCTACGGGTGAGGACCTCTTCTTTGACTTGGAAGACACTGGGAACAGATCAGAGAAGCCTTTACATGAACACAGAGATATGACCAGCACCAGTTCTAGAAGAATCACAACAAGGTCCACTTCTTTTTCTTCAAACACAGCATAAAGATCAGCGAAACCCAGACGATCTAACACTTTCAGTCCACTGGCAGACTTTGCTTCGTGTTTAGAACAGAGGTTTTTATCACTCCTGGCCTGGAGGGCTAAGTCTAAAATGTTTCTAAGCTTCCTTGAGAAGAAAGTTAGTAATTCAAACAAACACTCTCCAAAAGAATCCCACACCATCTGTACCAGGGCTCTGTTGATCTTACCATACTTCCTCCTATCCAGATTCAAGGAAAAGTTTAGTTAAAATAGTGCCTAAACTAAGAGCTCCTATTTGTCTTTTTCAAACTCTAGGAATGATATGATGTTTTGGATAATTGCACAACTAACACTTAAAATTTTATGCAACAAGCCAAAAAAATTTAATAGAAAACAAGCTATATAAATATGTCAAAATAAATAAGAATGAATGAGAACTCACAAATCTATGGGTTCTTATTGCTTTAGAATACCATTTTAATGATACATGTAAGTAAAACATTTTAAACTTTGACCTTTGATCTTCACAATCCGTGAAGTTGGTCAGGTCCAGTGAGTTTAAATCCTGCTTGTTTCTGTGAGCTGGCCACAGACAGACATTTAAAATGGCAGAGGAACAGCTGACCAATAGCTGGACATTACATCCCGCCCTGTATCCACACTTCACGACCTTCTGCAGATTGTTCTTCTCTATCTTAGCTGTAATGAATATTAATGATGTAATTAATGAAATTTAACTTCCAACTTTACTGTCATAATTATTTTTAAAGTATCATTTTTCAATAAACCTATCCGAGCTGTATTTCCTATAAAAGTAACTTTAAATTATTTTCATTCAATTTTTTTTATATAAAAAACCACATTACATTGTAGCTATATATGTGTAAAATAAAGAATTTTCATAATTATTTCACAATTATTTTTAAAGTATTTTCAGTAGTTTGAGAATTTGGCATATCATTTTTTCAATAAAGTTATCTGAGCTGTATTTCCTATAAGATTAACTTTGTAACTTAACATTGTAACAATATGTGTAAAATAAAGAATCTATAATTATACAAGAATTTTTTGGTCAACAAAATTACCCTCTTTACAGAAGACCTTGGTCAGCATCTCCACATAGCTGTCCACCCCCCTCCACAGTCTCCCCTCCCTCTCCTGTCTCCCCCTGATCTGTGGTTTGTCTGTGTGTCTGTCAGTGTGCGAGGGGAGCAGAGTGTGGGAGATGTGGCTCATAACCTCCTTACACAGTCCTAGTCTCCTGGTACTGGTCACATGATTCATCAACACTAGCGCCCTCTGTCTAACTAATCTGTTAAAAGGGGAAGTAAATCATATAAGTCGGGATTTTGACAATAAATGAATTTAAGATAATGTGCTATTTTTATACAGTGCAGTGTGGATATGTGAGACAAATTATGTGATACATGGATAAATGGTTATTATACAGTACATATTAGTAATTGTTAAGATTTTTTTTTTTGGTATAACAAACTCATTAGTATTTTATGCACTGAAAATGGCAAATTATCAAACATTTAATTAACTATGTGCAAATGTTCAACAATCTGAATGTGCAGATGCCAGTGGTAAAAAATTCATCCATTAAATGGATTAAAATGTGAATTCTACAAAATTTTATTACTTAGTATTTTTGAAGGTAAAAACTTTACAAAACTTCAATGTTAGAGAAAATAATACATGCTGTGGAATAGTTTTACAGAGTTAAATACTGCATGTATTTGATTTAGAGTAGAGCATGCATTAGATCATTCCGTCTGAAAATGGTTATAGTGTAGTAAAATATATCTACATATCTGGATAAACATGACAATTTGAAAAAAATACTTTAAAATATGAAGAATCTGGGAAGGGAGAGGAGGTTGGAGAATAAATGTCTAGTGTATAACACTTTCTTGTTTATTCTTTACGTGCAGGGGTGAAAATGATATACAACATTATATATTTTATTGTTTAATTTGCAATAAATTCATCATGAAGGTGTGAAAATGCTAAAAGTGATTATCTAATACAGTAATAATATTTTGAAAAGACAAAAAATAAAAGCATTTTACCAGGTTAAGTTTAAATTGAAATTTCATGTGAATTCTTAAAGACTCTCAATAATTATGTATATTCTATACCTCGTGTTTATCACAATATACACTATTTTAAGCAAATTTTAATGGATAAAAAAATTGTGCAATAAATACTACAGAATGATTTCGTAGACATATTTTTGAGCATTTTTTGTTTCATATGTGTTATCAAATCTGAAAGCTTAATTAATAATATTTTCAGCATACCCAGATTGAATCAATTCTGTAAGATACAATAGAATAACCCTGGTTATATAACACTGATTAATATCATTGGTAAATTATGGTTTTAATTAATTGTGCTAGGATTTAAGATATCAATGCAAAAAGATATTTGAAATGTGGATTTAATTATTCCTCCTGGAAAGCACATCCTTCTAACATCAAAATCATGTTAAACTTGAGAAAAAATTCAATAAATATATGGAATCAATATGGCACAAATATTTTCCATTCCATATTGGTTAGTTATTGGTCAGTATAAACTATGCCTGTATTTTACCTGCACTTGGACTGCTGTACACAGGTGAGAGCTGTGGGAAGGATCTCGTCGTCGTTAATGACCGTGCCCCACCCCCTCTCTGTCTCAGAGAGGATACACAGTAAAGACAGGGCCTCAGTCTGTTGGTCACTATAGAGAAAATCCTTAAATAGAACTCAATCAAATACAACACTTTATATAATTATCATAAGATTGTAGGAAATTTTCTGTAGTCAACTTCAACATTCTTCAGGTAAAGATATGATTTACACCTAAATCAATCTACACTGCCTTTTTAAAAATTCATTTAATTCCATGATTTTTATAATTAGCTCTTTCATTTATTAATTTTGATATTCAAGACAAGTTAAATCTAAGGGGTTGTGTGTAAGTAAAGAAAATTTGAAAAATCAAAGAGATCTAGCTGAAACCTACCAGGGTCCCTCTCTGAGCATGCTGACGGCTACACCAGTCACTCCCTGGTCAACACTACTGGACATCATAGAGTCTTCATTCTTTACCACCTCTCCAAGGATCTTAGTGTAAATCTCCTGTCACAAAAATAAATTAACTCACACTGTAAAATAAACATAACAAAATGATGTCACTTGTTATACATTTAACATGTTCAAACAAAATACTGTATGAAGAACTGTGTTCTAGCTGTAATAACCAATATCTGCCTTAAAATCACTTTGCTGTGCCCTTGTTGTAAATTTTATTTTATTTTATTTTGCAGTAATCATGTAAAGTATATATTTTCACTCTACTCCTTGTCTGCAAAATCAAGTACATGGTTATATTTGATTTCAACAGATACAAAGGGAAGCTTTTCCTTATAAATTTGTTGAATTCATAATTACACTGAATAAATGCTATGACAAGAAAGGTGGCACTAAATTTTGAGTGTGATAATTAATGCATAATAATATTTTACAGTACCTTTAACTTAGCACTGGAATCTCTCAGTCCAGCTAAAATCGGTAGAACTCGGTTTTCAATGATTCCAAGGAAGTCCTGGTCCTTTCCCAGACAGTGGAAGAAGCAGCTGATCCTGTACTTGTTGTCCAGGGTGACCCCCTCCATAGACAGGGCAGTCAGAAGGAGGGGCACGATGTCACCCAGAACCGGCTCATACCACTCCTCCCTCAGGCTCTCATAGCTCACAACCTACAATGTGTGGGGTGTATTTTCTTTTTTAATATATTTAAAATCTGCCATGATTTCCTAGTAATTAATATAAGCTTCTCTTTTAAATGAAAAGTGTAGCCTTTGTGTATGGTCAGCTAACAGTATTCTGAATTTTCAAGACTAGAGCAAAAAAATTTGGGTTGGACAACAGTGAATAATAAAATTAACCATAAAATTTTAAATACCCTAGGTAAATAAATAATTCATTCCAGAATATAATCCTCAAGCATGTCTGAAATCATTTAGTTTAAATGAAAGCTCAATAAAAAGAATTTAAAAGAAACAGTAAACAGAAGAGATTGTTGTTATTGCATTCATACCCTGATCATTGTGTTGACACAAGGCCCCAGACTTTCACTGGAGCTACTGATAGTCTGGATTAGGTTTTTCAGGAGGTCCCTCTTCAACAGTAATGTCACATTAGACAAGTTCCCACACAGCTTACTGATCAGAGACCAAGTCATCTCTTTGATTCTGAGGTTGCCAGATTCCAAGTACTCACAAACCTAGAACATAATAAGGAAAATATTACTTTATGTCATTATGTGTACATAAATTGGTGAACGGGGTTTTCAAAATTTAGCGCAATCACTGGGTATTGAGTTAATTGTTGGCATATACATGTAAGAGCTACATACTAATACTAATATTAATACCAAGTCTTTATGGTGCTTCAATAAATTATTTCTTAGTGGTATTCATGATTTAGTGCTTTAAATTGTTGTCTGCACAAAAGCCACTGAAATCTGAAGCTCACTTTTTAAAAGTACACATACAGCTATCAGCTCTAGGTCTTTATGTGTTTCTTTATTAAGCTACTTAAATCAAAGATGAAATCATGTAATTAGTCTACCTTCTCCAGTTCCTCCTGTGACACTGGCTCCTCGCAGGAGAACCCCTCTAGTACCCCGTTGAAAGCCTGAGATGAAATCCTGCCATCCGGTCTCTTACCGAGTCCATCAAGCATCTTCAAGAGCACCTTTAAGTCCACATCTGTAGAACATTTTTTAGTGTTAACGAGTGCAATTTTTACTCAATGTGTGATTGTGTGAAGTTATATTTTCGCTATACCAACTCTTTTAAATACATTTTAATACAGGGATGATTAAAACATTGTTCAATCTAAAACTGATTATAAACATGATTAGACTGTTCATATTACTGTAATAAATTCCAAGTCTTAATATTTCATAGAGACATTTACTCAATGGAAAGAAATTATGGCCCCATGCATGAACATGTATATCCTTTATTTCAATTTCACTATGCCCATCCAGCAAATGCTCACCCCTCCCAAAAAAATTCAAATGTTTCAAATTCCTACATTCTGCACATACTGTAGACGTCTTTAATTTCACGTGTCTTAATTTTCACGGTTTGTTAGAAAGTTACCTTTCACGGTGGTTTTAATTTCACGGAAAATCGTTTGTAAATATTTAGGTATTATGCCTGTTTCTAGGCAGAAATGATGTGAAATAATAATCAAGATGGTTTAAAGTTCGCAGAAAATTCTTAAATCGTGAACATAGTGAAATTAAAAACACCGTAATGTTTTCCACTTCTACAGTATTCTCACACAAATTATCACCCTCCTTTCACAAATTTCCATCTTCCTCACACATCTAAACAGATTTTCAGACAAATTCTTTTCCTCCTCACTATTGTAATGTACACATTCAAACTCCTATCATCCTCATACATCAGCCATAGATTCTCACAGAAATTCTCACCCTCATCACAAATGTACACTATTCCTATCTTCCTCAAACATCTACACAGATTCTCACACAGATTCTCACCCTCCTCTTCTTCATCTGTATCCTCCTCTGAGCTGCCCTGGTCCTTTTTCTGACGTGGTTTACCTGAGCCAGGTGCCTGACCTACTTTGTGACACTCACACGTGACATGGACTGCCCTCTGGTGCCTGGGGGAGGGGGATTTACTGGGGAGTCTGGAGTAGATACTGGTTATTGGATCATAATCTGGATCCCTGTAATTTAATGAAGAACTTCAGATGTGCTATAAAGAAACTCTTTTTTGAAAAAAAAATATTATCCACTCAATAATATGTGGGTGACTGCATCAAATTTGTATATGATTTCATTTTTTATATTTTAATTATAAGGTTATTAAGTCTTGTTTTCATTGCTGCAAAAAACTTTATAATATATATATTCATTGGGAATTTTTTTTTTAAAAAGTCTAATTTGATATTAAGTGAAACAAAGACTCATGATGATACAAATTAATACAGTAAAGAATTGTTTTCGTAGTTACAGGTATCATAATTACACTCATGGTAAACATGTATATACATAGTTTTGCGTGAGATTTATACCTTTCAAGTCGCTGGTGTTTGATCAGATGAGAAGGGGTATCCAGATACTCCCCTACAATTGTTAAATGTTTACGATCCACCTCAGAAATAACGGAATCTGTAGGATGCCAGGACTGAAGAGGATTGGCCATAGTCATTTATTCTTGACAGCAGCTGAAAATAACACTACAGCATTAGGTTAAAGAGGAATTATTTAGCATTGAATACTTTTTTTTTTATCTCAATGAAACAATAGCAATGTAAAGCTACCAATTTGATGTTAATCCCAAAATTAATAAAATTTAATATGCCTTAATCATGTTAATTTCCAACATTTTTTTTTTCAATGCTTAAGTATTAAAATTTAAAATGACTTACTTTCAAATATTTTTTCAATGCTTGATTTCTTTGCTGTCCTGCATTCTTGTGTTGTCCAGTAGCTATACTTGAAAGCATTCATTAGGCCCATTATACAAGTGTGCAGTAGGAATAAAATACAGGAGCCATTGCTACCATTTGTCTGCTGTTCAAACACAGGAAAATACCTCTTGTTGACTCAATAAATCGACAGATCAGACAGGAACGTGACACATTGTTAAACTTTTCTATTACCACATATTGATTTTTGTCCGATAAGTCAACGATTTATTTGACTTTAAAGACGCCACTTTAAAAAAAAATGTTTACCTTGGATTTCGACAATACTGTAATTAAATATCATGTATGACGAACCCGATGGGATTACAGTAGTCGTATTCTATGTAAAGCCCGAAGACGTTCCAGATTTTTTTTTTTTTTATTTTAAAAGTTTGCAAGAAATTATAGGAGCACAGGCGTCGGAAGGAAATTGAAGGGGGGGGGGGGCTAATTGAAAGTGGGCAGGCTAAACCAACAAAAAAGGTAAACACCATAAAAATGTCTATCTTTGCAAAAAAAGAAGGGGGGGGGGGCTAGTTACGAACGTTAGTACTTATAATTAATTTAAGTGTAGTAAGATTTAGTTGTCGGCTAGTCCTTAGGTCTAACAAGATTTACTTTCTGCTAGTCCAAATCATAACTAATAATAGGTGTAAATTATGTCTACTATATAAAAAGTATAATTTTAACAAGCTTTAATTAGCTGTTAACTCGACTTAAAGAAAAACAAGTACATGTAATAATTAAGCACCCCACCCACCCCACTTCTTGTTGCAGTGGTTCGAGAGTCTGCTCTAGAGTCATGAGCAAAAAGTTGACGACAACGTACACTGTATTGTCAATTAACAATTATGGTATTCTGATGTCAATACGATATATACGAGGGTTGTCCCAAAAAGTCGTAGACAATGTTTATAATTTTTTTTAACATGAGACCAATACTTACCAAATTTTGCCTATAGACATGATATAGTCAATGTTCGTTAAAATTGTGAATTTTTAAATACATATCTTTCATATTTATAATACGTATTAGGGCGATTTATATGAAGGCCGATAAGGCCTGTCGGCGCACGGACAAAATTCGGAATAATTTACGCATATAACTATTACATTTGCTTTTATTTTTTTAATACTATATAATTTAATTTTATTTGTATTCACGCCTCTCATTGGTTGATTTCCAAAAAGGAACGCATAACATTTTGTATAATCTGGTTTGGTATGGGGACACACCCCCTTGACGACCAGCTAAATCATCATATCACTGCAATCCCCTCATTTCCAGTCCTCGGAATCCATGGAAAATTCCAGATTTAATAAATGTACCTTCAACTTTAAACAATTACTCGTTCTTACCTCATGTAAACAAACATCATGGCTGCTAGATCTATGTATCAGTTATATGACCTCCCCTCGCTTCAAATCACTTCCGTTACTATGGTTGTATTATTGCGCAGTAAATTTGTACTTATAAAAAGCAACACAATTTTACATCAAAAGTTGTTTAATTATTTTAAAATTAAATTATAAGGAATGACTCTAATTCTTGGCCATATTATCGAGTATAATCTGGTTTGGGTCAGTTTACGCTTTTTTATAATCCGCTTCGCGGATTATAAAGCGTAAACTGACCCAAACCAGATTATACTCGATAATATGGCCAAGAATTAGAGTCATTCCTTAAGTAGGGTATATTCGGGTAATTCCGGACAAAACTCACATAAGCGTTGTTCGGTGGGAGTAGCAGCGCGAAACTGATTGATGGGTAACCCAGTTTTGAATCGATGTGTGAATTTCATAAATAATCCTCGATAAATAGATGTTTTAGATTGTTTTCCTTCAGGTCTTATTCAAATATTAGCAAAATAAAACGTATTGGCAGAGTGGGATAAATCCGGACACAATGCGGGTAAATCCGGACAGGCCAATCTTGTAATTGTATGGCGGCGTAAACGTGCAATGTCAAATAATAGCATATACAGTAAGTAATTAGATTATTTGTAAGATTTAAAAGATCCTCAGCTCTATTATATAAAGCATCTCAGTTGTTAATGCAGTTATATTCAGAGAGATTTATAATTATTAAATTTCTAAGTATCTTACATCTCGTTTATTACTTTTGGACTTCAGAATCTATGAGGACGACCATTTGTTTTTGATGAGAGGGGAGTTTGCATTTGACAATAAATAATCTGTCCTTTAAAAGAATAAAACTATATATTATCAAATGAGAATAACATAAATAATCCGACCCTGATTGATATGTCACTACCCCCCCCCCCCCCCCTTCCCCTTTACAAACACGCACATATGAAAAAGCATTCTCGGAATTTTATTTAAATGAAAAATGTCACACAGTCATTAGTCTCGTTTTCCCCAGACTCTCGCTTTCGAGACCTTGCCCGCTCGGGCAAAGTCTCGAGAGCGAGAGTCTGGGGTAAACGAGACTACACAGTCATTTACTTTTAATATTTGATCTCACAAATGATATTTGAAGAATTAAGTTGGTGGACAACTCGTTGAAGTACAGAATCGTCCGAAATCCTGCAGCCTATGGAACATCGCTATTGTGGACCAACACGTTGATTCAGTACTAATGGGACCTCTTTAGGTTTTAATAACCGTTTTAACCCTGGTACAATAGTAAACAAGTTAAATTGATGCAAAGCATCAAATCGGCCGCGCCGCAAACAAAATTTAGCAGTAAAAAAATTTAGCAGTAAAAAAAATTCTTTCACATGCAAGGAAAGCACGTCAAGATATTCAAAGGAGAAATGGTTGAATCTTTTTTTTCAGCTTATCTTCAAAGCAAAGTAATTTTTTTTTTAAATTAATAAATAGACATTTTACCGCATTTGCTCATAAATAGATTCATCGACGTAAAAAAAAATAAGTCAATGATGAATGATGAGAATTTATTGAAAATGATGATGTAGCCCTCTCAAGATAAACCACGTGCTGATACCCTGGATCTTTGTCACGTGATAATGCCCATGGCTTATGCAGAGTAGGCTCTGCTGCAAGCCGCAGTGCAAAATGTAGGGAAATTATCTTTGCATCATTTGCAGCTTTAGAGCATATTCAAATCAATATTTTTACTGAGTTGAATATTCACCATGCACTTTTATCACGTCAACATTTTCCGGAATATCATGGCAATTTCCTTTCATATCTTACATACTCCCAGACCGGGGAGTTTCTATTGTACACTCTTTTTATATAACCATAAATTATCAATTATCTGACGAGAAATGATAATGAAATTGAAATATAATAACAACAATTAATGCTAATATTAAAGCAAGTTTTTTTTTTAAATATTTTACTCATGATTTTTACTTTTTATCAATCAAGAATTATGACTATAATGAAAAATAACGTCTCATTTCCCCATGTGCACTTTCTAACGCAACCACGAATAGATCGGACGCTGCTGCGGCCGATAACAAGACGATACTATTTTGGCATCTCATTCTGTCCGTTTTAAATGTGCCTTCTTATATGGCCCGTCTAATATTGGCGTCGCATTACAATCATATGGATTGTTTTCTTCATGTTGGAGCTTATACCCTGCCCCCACTGCAGTCCCCAGTGGTGCATTCCGAATTTCCGACGGCCCATATTAAGTTGTGGATGACTAAAATTGGCATCTCTGCGGAAATGTAAAAAACTGAAATGGATAAGATGTAGGAAGAATTTATTATGTGTATGCGTGTCACTATGTGTAGATTAGAGTATTTCATAAGTATAATTTTTAAATAAATATTTAGAGCGTATTATGGGCACCTTATTTTGTACGTTGAAATTGTAAAAAATTATAGTATCATCACTCACTCTTAAAAAGAGCTGCTTTATAGGGGAAAAAGGGGGGGGGGGGGAGAGAACAGAGTATTAAATATATTTGAGCTCTTCCACTTTATGACTGTCCCGTCATGTTACTATAGACTTGATTTACTCTTCGCCCAGCTCACATTTTGACCCCTGTTTTATTATTTTTTTTAAATAATCATTTTTTTTTTAGTAGATTGTAGATAACTGTAACGGACATCACCCACCCACACCTGCGCACACACGAGTTGATGATTATGAAAGCTTTTAAAATTCTTTATCTGTGTCCGAGAATTTTAGTTTGAGACCCCCTCACACCGTTTCCCTAGCTGAACTGTAGCTATACGAAAAAAAAATACATACTCCGGTCTGTCAATAGGCTGAATTTTTTTTTCGGAGAGCTACAGTTCTGCAGCGACCCTTTTTCCCCAGTGCGTGACTCTGCATGAGTCTCTGTAGCATACAACATATAATACATTCTTGAAATTAATTTATGTATGATATTATGTAAACAACTCATTCAAAAGGCCTAGTTTAGAATTTCGTAATCTTATAGATTTAATGTAGGCCTAGATGAAAATAAATCACATAGAACTGCTAAAAGAACACAATATAACTATGTCCGCAATTACCCTCACTTAATTTTTTTTGGTAGGGTAAATCCGGACAATTTAATTTTTTTCATTTCAAGTTAAAATTTGGTATAAAAATTTAATGTCACATAATTTTTTTCGATGTTTAACTTCTTTAAAACTAAAACATTACAGTTATTTAAATATTTTCATTGAATACTTACTTGTTTCGTAGTTTTTTCACTCTGGTCTCTGGTTTAGGCAAGTTGAATATTCCCGCAAACCGACAACAACACCAAAACAGAAAGTGCAAAGGTCATTTTATTGACGTCATGCTAAATAATCGGGAATTCCCTTTGATTATAAATGAATATGATAGAAAAGAATAATGGTTTTATTTTCCGAAATGATACACACAATTCAGAGAAAATAAGACGATTTTCATTGACGATAACATAAAACAGAGGCATTTTATTTCTGTCCGGAATTACCCGCTGTCCGGAATTACCCGAATATACCCTAATACATTGAACTCAAATTTAGATTCACTGAAACCAGAATAAAAATCTTAATGTTATATCAAAATTTCATATAAATATCTTTAGAAACAGACGATTGGTGTCATGATTTTCATAAAATTGAGTATGGTGAAAATGACGTCGTCAAACGCGTGGTCGGCACATGGAGATGTAATAAATTGTGTTGGATAGAGGATATGGTTAACATCAGAGACGGGAAAAAAGAGTACAGAAGTGACATTACACACCCGATTTAAATAAAGAAGTTATTTTTAAATTGAACGATTTTTCTTCTGTACCGAAAATAGTTAATTACGGCATGTAAGAAGTAAAGTTCTGTTTGATAAACGCAATCTGGAC